CATTTCTTTCCGTTTGGTCTTTTCTTTTTTCCAATTGCTATTTTAATATAAACAAAAATTCAATTAATGTAAACGCATTATGTTTCATTGGAATATACTACAGGAATTCCACCAAAGTGAAACCCAACAATTAGCGATAAAACGAAAACAGTAACATACCAAATTATCAATGTACTTACAATATTTAAGGATAAAAAGTTTCATTGCACTACATTTGTAAACTTTATTAATTATACGTTGCAAAAAAAATGACGTGAACAAAAGTTGTTATTCATTTCCCTAACTCATCACTTCGCTCATTTACTCTTTAAAAATAAGTCATACGATCCTTGACATCTTATCGCTTTGTGTCCTTCAATCAACACATTATAATTATAAGAAAAGTGTTTTAATAATTTATATTCATTGTCACGCTTTTTGTACACAACTTGGTTTTTGTTACAAAAGGGCATTGTTATACAGTGGATCAAACCGATATGGAAGTTTTTGCAAAACGGTATTTAATTTCATTGATATTTAAAAGTTTCGCAGAGTGCAAATTATAATATTATCATTTATAACCAATGCAGTCGAGTGTATATTCGTCTATCGCTACTTATTACATGTATTTCAAACTATAATACAAAGTACTTAATAAGCTATAATCCATAATATTATGGTTTATAATCGCTGTTGCGGTTGATTTTGAGAACTCATTCCTGAAACTGGTTGCGGTGAGGTATCTGTACTTTCACCCTTTTTCTCCTCCTTCTTCGATTTATTCCAATCCTGTAAACCTTTAGGTAAACTGGTGTCCTCTTCGAACGATCCCGTACCCTCCACAAACTGTTCGTAAGTTGACTTTTCAGGGAAGGGCCTAGGACCTAGTAACTCTATCATATCGTCTCTACTTAAAATTTCTTGCTTTAACAAACGTTCGGCCACCTAATCAAACAATAGTAAGGTCATTCATCTGCTACTATATTCATAAAAGCCAACTTTTTCATAAACCAAGAATATTTTATACCTTAGATACGTTCTCCTTATGTTTTGTAAGTAAATCGCGTGTGTGAGTATGGGCTCGTTCAATTAATTCACGTACTTCAGTATCGATAAGCTGTGCAGTGTGTTCAGAATATGGTTTATCGAAAGTCATTTCGCCTTGCTGTGGCATTTGAAAACTCACATTGCCAACTTTTTCGTTCATACCATACTGAATGACTTGAGCATATGCATTTGCAGTTACCTGATAAAGATAAATTCAATATTAGTAAATTACTTACGCGCGTTATAAATTTGTAAAAAAAGAAAAGAAACGCAGCACGACAATACTTTTTGTAGGTCATCTTGCGCTCCTGTTGTAATACGACCAAAAAAGATTTCTTCCGACACTCGCCCTCCAAGTGCCATACACATTCTGTCGAACAATTGTTCTTTTGTATAAAGATATTGTTCATGAGGTAAATATTGTGCATAACCTAAACCTTTTCCTCGAGGAATTATGGAGACCTGCCCCATAAAAGAACATAAGTGAAATTATAATCAAACTATTACTATTTTTGAAATCTAAGAATCACCTTCAGTAACGGATCCGCATATCTCAAAAACCAGCCTGCTACTGCATGGCCTGCTTCGTGATAGGCAACCGTCTTTTTTTCTTCAGGTTGCAAGACATTCGTCTTTTTTTCCATGCCTGCAATAACTCTTTCAATGGCCTGTTCAAAATGTTTTGAGTAAATATTATCGCTCAAGTCTCTGGCTGCTATTAAAGCTGCTTCGTTACAAACATTGGCAATATCAGCTCCTAAAATCAAATCACTCATAGTATTCTCAATACATTTTTAACATTCTTCTTTTATCTTTGTTTTCAAGATTTTATTAGTAACTAATTTCACTTTTTATACCTGTAAAACCAGGCGTTAAGGAAGCCATTTTTCTGGCTAATTCGTCTTTATCCATTGTGATTTTTAAAGGTTTCAAGTGTACTTTAAAGATAGAAGCTCGACCTTTAATGTCTGGAGCAGGAACGAAAATTTGTCTATCAAACCTTCCAGGTCGCAACAAAGCTTTATCTAAAATATCTATTCTATTAGTTGCCGCTAATACAACTACATTAGTAGTTGTATTGAAACCTGAAGAAAAAAATATATTACTCGAACAAATATAAATTTTGAATAATGCAATACATGATCTTATCAATTATTATAGTATACCATCCATTTCAACTAGAAGTTGATTAAGTGTATTTTCTTGTTCCGAATGACCGCCAAAGTTTCGGCCTCCCCTTTTTCTTCCAACGGCATCGATCTCATCAATAAATAATATACACGGAGCATGTTTTCGTGCCAATGCGAACATATCTCGAACTCTTGATGGACCAACACCAACAAACATTTCCAAAAACTCAGAACCTGATACACTAATAAAAGGTACATTTGCTTCACCAGCTGTAGCTTTAGCTAATAACGTTTTACCAGTACCCGGTGGACCTATAAAATATTATACAAGTTCTAAATTATAATCCTAAACTAATCCAAAACTAATAAGAGCTATTTATTCCTAAACTATATGTACTTACCCGTCAGCATTGCACCCTTAGGTATCTTAGCACCAAGCTCTATATATTGTTGTGGATTTTTTAAAAAATTTACAAACTCCATAATTTCAATCTTAGCTTCTTCGCACCCAGCAACATCCCTAAATTTCAATAATACACATAGAAATATTTATAGCAATTATATAGCAAAAAGGTAATAAATGAAATATTACTCAAACACGATATCCTTAAAGGGAGTCGTACAATTGCACACAACTTTTTCCTACTCTATAAATTGACTACTTGTTAATTGTTTTAACTGCATATTCGTTTGTCTTCTATCTGCTTTTGTTATTTTGTTAATACCTCTTGTTTTTCACTGTGTTCATTTCATCCTAAAACATTCTAACGAATATGGCAGAAGAGCCCAGAGTAGAAGAAAATTGTCTACAATTCATAATAATCTTTTGAAATACAATAATGTAGAATTATACAACAATATTTCTATTAACTTACTTAAATCTTACACCAATATCTTTGGAATTAACCATTTTTGCAGTTGATTCCATTAATGCCCCAAAAAGGCCACCTTTCCTTCCCTTACCAAGTGATTCTGCTGATTTACGGAATACATAAAATATGGCTCCTGTAAATAACATTTAATATTATATCTAGCTATTATCTGAATATCTGTCATAAATGTATATCTACACAAAAATAAACATAGCTTACCATACATAAGCACCTGTGGTAAAATTTTTAAAATATGATATAATTCTAGCTCATCCTTGTATTGTACTAATAGATAATTTTGTGGCTCTATATTTAATTCAATTTGTGCATTCTCCAAATTTCTTTCAAAAGTTTCAACACTACCAATGTTGAACCATAAAGTATCCTACACAATAATAAAGTATCCATTCATTCACCTGTTAAACTTAAATTGAACTACCTCTAAACTTACTTGTCCATTCGCAAAATTCCCAGGTAATAATTTGACACGGACCCATTGTTTATTGATAACTTCCACTTTATCCACTATTCCCTTATCTAAATATCTAAATAGAATTAACATAAAACATTTACATGAAATTTGTATACTGGGTATGTCTACAAAAAATTATTCATTTACTTTACTATACATTATAATTCATTTACTTTGTTACAAATTCTTTCCATGTAATTTCTGTAGCCTGATTCGATAATTGTTGCAAATATATGTAAAACAATCCCATTAATGTAACACCAAGAAAAAGCAATTTTTCGTTCTTTTTATCTCCAAATGATTTCTTGCCTCCATTCCATTTAAACTCCCATGAAAATGTACGTTTATCACTACTCGCAGAATGCGTACTAGATTTTTGAGATTCTGCTTTAGATGACTGCGATTGAGAAGCTTCCTTGGATTGTCCTCTTTTAGCTTTCTCAGTAATCTTTTCAGTCGTTTTACCAGAATCTTTTTCTACAGATGAGAAAATGAAGATATTTTATAATCTACTTTTTATAGCTTAGAGCAAATTAATAAGTATAGGATAATAACTTGATTTAAAAAATTTTTCAAATCCTTTTGGTGGCTCATCGCATAATAATCTCCATTGATTTCGTAAATGTTCCAATGCACTCGTTTCGTTGCTATTTCTTATCAATGATAAATATCTTCTTAACTAAAACAAATTTTATAACATACAATATAACAAATATAGCAATGAAATGCAACATAAAAAACATTCTATACAAACATTATAAAAGTTCCAAATACTATTAGTTTAATCTTTATATACCCACATTTAAATAAATATATACATAATTACAAAAAGTATCGGACAACTACAAATATATATACAGCAATTTAAATAAGAATTGATCTTTATTAAAGAAGTCATTCATGATAAAGAACAGAGGTTATGTCAGATCATATTTATACCTGAAATATATTGGCATTTTTGTAAACGGAGTTCAGAACAAATCTTTCTAATTTACTTGTCGAATATAATAGCTGATGGGCCATATTTGTGGTAAGTGTCTGTAATCACGTAATATGATGAAATTTCGTAGTTTCCACACGTTCCTTGTAGTAGATTACCGGCCACAAGACATTATCTCAACAAATATCCCCAGTCTTAATCCCTATTTCTCGTTTACAACGCAAAACGTATATAAGTTCTTAAGCCGAGCAATTATTGGTTATTCAATTTTGCACGAAGAGAATTGACTAATAAATGACTCAGTTCACTACTAGGATATTAATTTTATTTAGTGTTACTAGAAATATAGGGGACTAAAGTATAAGATATTTTTGACATTCTAAGAAAAATTATTTTTATTGAAGCACATGCTTGATCATTGCGACATTCACATGAATCAAACATATTATACCAATTCACATAAGGAATCGTATAAGTCTACATTTCTATTAATCTCTAGCTTCTAATTCAGATTTAACTGAATTAACGTTATTATACATTTTCCTAAAAGACGAAAATTATAACAAAGTTTATTTATAAATAAATATAAGGAAATAATGCACACAAAAATGCAGACGTTAATAATAATTCAATCGTCTCATGAAGATATTAGATAGGAATTTTTATATGTACTTGCGTCATATATACGTATACGCGCGTTGTTTTCATATATGATATATATATATATATATTACTAAAATCTAAATTAATACACGTATTATTATACAAAACGAATATTAATGAGTGTTACTCTATTGGTAATACTTCATATGCTAACTTTCAGTTTGTGAATAGTTTGAATTTTCTTCAATACTTATAGCACAAGGAACATATTCTTGTCCCGATTCCTGTAAAATATAAATTTTATATATATGAAGAGTTTTTATGAAATATTTTTAAAAAATTCGATTTAAAAAAAATGAATAAAAAACATACTGAGTTAACAATAATTTGTCGTCCCTCTTCTAAATTAAGTCCATCCATATCTTCTGCTGTTAATATTATCACAGAATCTTCAGGTATACTATTTTCATCTATATAAGTTATAGGAATTTCTGACGAAACCTGTAATTAAAATTTATTAACAATCACAAAATCTGCAACACAAAAATTTTGGCAATAGAAGATATAAGATAGATATTACTAATCCATAATACCTCGCAATATGTAAAATCAGATCCTTCTTGTACCTTTGTTTCTGTATTATGTTTAGAATCAGCTATTCTTTGTTTCCTTGAACTTAACGAGCGCTCTGACTTTTTACCATCTTGTTGGAGACGTCTCCATATCGTTGTTTTTGGAATATGGTAAGTCATTGATGCTGCTGCTTGCGACATTTTCCCTCCTTTACATGCAGCAACAGCTTCTTCCAAACGAGATTTTTTCAATTCTTCATTTTCCGTCTTACGTTTCTTCCAAAATGATAATGGCAATTTTCCTTCATCTACCAATCGCGCCTTATCTCTAAATAAAGTAGTTTTCGGAATCTAAAATCATAATTACCGTTATTACTCTTAGAGAGCCTAAATAAAATTGAGCAAGAAACAAAATGTTAAATAATTTACTTTGAATTCAAGTGCTACTTTCGTTAAATTCTCTCCTCTTTCTAAAGCCTTAACTGCAGCTTCCCGTTTATCTGATCCATAAGATCTTTTCATTTCCGAACGTAGTATTTGATATCCTTCTTTCTGAATCCTCCTCCATAATACAGTCTTTGGTATACTAAAAAGTTCTGATGCATGCTGTAGGCTTGATCCACCTGTAGTAAGAGTGATGATGACAAGTTGAATGATGCCACAGAATTAATATGTTGAGTAAATATGGTATAGATACCAACCAATTACCGCATTTATAGCAGCTTTCATACACTCTGCCGGATATTCGTTTCTTGATGCGTTTAAATGTATACCTAATGCTTTAGCACGCATGTACAAAGTTGAACGTGGTATATTATGTTTAGTAGAAGCTTCTATTAATGTCTGCCCTGCTTTTAAATCATTAATTGCCGCTGCCAACATATCTTCGCTATAATCTCTTTTTGTTGTATCGCGCCTACGTTTCTTTTTTTTATTCAAAGTGGAATTTTCGACGACCTCATCTTTTTGTTGGTCTTCCAAATCTTCATAACTATGTTGCAACGCATTAATAACATTTTCTTCAGCCTCGCTAATTACAGTCATTGGCTCTTCATTATTATCATTAAAATCCTTATTGTTTACAACTGAGTCAGTTTCTTCAAGTCCATCAATCTATAAACAAAGAAACAGAATAATGATAAGAAAAGAAAAATATTTCTATTTAACTCTCTTTAACTTTCTCTTTAAGTATAACTAACTTCAATAAGGCCACAGATTTTTAGTGAACGTGCCGCATCTAATAAGGTACTAATATTTTCAACTGGTACTCTCACTTCCCCATGGTAAGTAAATTCTATAATAGATTTTATATCTTGAGCAGAAATATCGCTTAATATTATTGTTGGATGATCTTCATTTACTTGACTCAATATTTCCTATAAATGAAAGGAATGAATTATTATGCAAATCATGCAGAATGCTATATACACACCTAATCTATCCTAAAACAAAATGAAATATATATTTTTTTAACATGGAAAGGTATGTCATTATAGTGTGTAATGAGCACTACATTTTGTAATATATTTCACAGAAAAGATTATTAAAACCTGTATAAAAACGAATTCGAAGTACAAACTTTAATCACTGAAAACTATTTGAAAGTAATCATAAAACAATGTTCAAATTCAAAGCTATGAATTCTTAAGAGTACAAAGATTGTTTACTCGAAATAAAGTGCTACAAGCGCAGAGAACTATGCGATGAGCATGAATACGTTCCCCGCCCGCAGCCAGGGTAACGTCTACCATACAGTCCTCCTCTAAAAGTTGTCTAACTACATCGGAGAGATGGTTTTGATAATCATTCCATTTAAACCAATAACTCTGATTGATCTCATGTTGGTTAGTAATTTCGGACATGCCGTTTCAGTTTCGTTTCCTTTTTCAGTTTCAATAATTCGTATCATATACAACCGGAATTTGGAACAGGACTGAACTCTTCAGAGTGCTTCACAACTAAGATACGGACCTCAGTGATTATTCATGGTACTTTGTAAAAACTCTAATAAATTTTACACCACCTTTATACGATCATTTATCCTGATTACTTATGTATCATTAAACTATTTTGTGTACGTGTTATATTTATATACAAACACTTATTTAAAAATCAAATATAATAATAAAAAATTATATTACAAACATATTAATTGCCAGTTAAACGTATTATGATTGGTTCATACACATGTTATCTATACCGAATTTAACAATATAACATTTCAGTTTAAAACTTTAAAAAATATGTAAAAAATGTATAAAATATAAAATATAGAAAGATTTTTATTTAAACAATAATTAAGTTTATTTAATTTGCTCAAATTCTAATAACTAGAATATCTCCGCTTGATTCTAGTTGCCAACTTTCATAAAATTTGAGATGTAGTATAAATATATGTATGTACACAAAAGAATTGAGCCCTTATATGTATTAGTAAACTCACGTCCTGTTATATTGTAAGAGTTGTATGACTGCTTTAGGGTAACGGAGTGTTTGTGTTTGCTAACTTTTTGACCACTTTATTTAATCGCCTATTTAAAAACAAAATGGTTAGTGATTTTATACATATCAATCATTTTACATATTGTTTTTCATTGTGATTCGATGTACATTTTCCTTGATGTATTTAAACATGTGACAGCATAACCTCAATATTATTGCTACGTTAAAAACGTTACACATTATTAAGTATGAATGCATTTTTGAGAGTTTGGATATTCTTTCTATTAAATTGTATTCACGATTTTAAAGCTTGAAAGATTCTTTTTATAATACTTACTGCGATAATTTAAACTGATATCACATATTGCTTCGTGATATTTTGTGGTTACGTTATTCCATATATTGTAAAATTTAGTAATGGTAATATTTAGTCAGTCGTTTTTGTTAAAAAAGAAACGTATTTAATATAAAACATATTAAAAAATGATAAATTTATTATTTTTTGTAGAAACCTCTAATGTTGCACGGGCACGAACGTGCCATAACGCAAATTAAATACAATAGAGAAGGAGACTTATTATTCTCCTCTAGTAAGGATAAAAAGCCAAATGTTTGGTATTCTTTGAATGGAGAACGCCTTGGATCTTTCAATGGACACAATGGCTCAGTATGGTGTATTGACATTAATTGGGATACAACACGATTTTTATCTGGAAGTGGTGACAATTCACTAAGAGTTTGGGATTGTCAAACTGGTTTGTATTGCACATACATATAATATTTTTTCACTTATTTGCTTTATTTATTAAAATATGACTATGTTACATTATAGGAAAAGAAATAGGTTTGCTTCATACAAACAGTTCAGTGAGAACATGTAGCTTTAGTTATTCAGCAAATCTTGCTGTTTACTCTACAGATAAAGCTTTAGGACACCAATGTGAAATGTTTATCATTGATATCAAAAATGTTGATGCAGTATTATCACAAGCAGATGCAATTTCTAGAATTGCTGTGAATGGTCCCAAAATCACTGCTATCTTGTGGGGTGCATTAGATGAAACAATTATTACTGGCCATGAAGATGGTGAAATCACTCTTTGGGATGTTAGAGTATGTAATATATTTGTATTCTCATGAATTAAATGTTTAAAACTTTTTTATAATTTTATCTATTTTTTTGTAGACAAGAAAAAAGATGACAAGTGTCAGAAGTCACAAATCACAAATAAATGACATGCAATTCAACAAAGATGGCACTATGTTCGTGACTGCTTCAAAAGATAATACTGCTAAACTATTTGACAGTGAATCGTTAATGTTATTAAAAACATACAAAACAGAAAGACCTGTTAATTCTGCTACGATTTCTCCAATTTTTGATCATGTATGTGTCATATAGTGATTAAGACATTTGGGAAATAATATTTATCAAAATTTATAAATACTGTATTTTTATAGGTGGTTCTTGGAGGAGGTCAAGATGCAATGGATGTCACAACAACGTCCACTCGTCAAGGAAAATTCGATTCTCGATTTTTCCATTTAGTATTTGAAGAAGAATTTGCACGTTTAAAAGGACATTTTGGTCCAATTAATTCTCTAGCATTTCACCCTAATGGACGTAGTTTTTCAACAGGTGGAGAAGATGGTTATGTTCGTATTAATACATTTGATCAATCTTATTTTGACTTCCATTTTGAATACTAATTTTATGAAATAAAAATAAATATGTATCAATTAAATGAATGGTGTAAATTATTTTTTCTATTCTCTTTCTTGAGATATATGGATATTAGGATAAAGGCAGCCTGATGCAGTATATTAAAAATAAAGATTTACTATTTTTAAATTTATTGTTCATATAAAATGAAAATTGATACATCACTTTCTGTGACAAAAACATGGAAGATAGTATTATTAATGGAATAGTTCCAAATATTTAACATACATAGCTGAATTATATTGGATATAAACTTTTATGTTTATTTTGCTTAAATATTTAAAAAAATATTACTCTTTGTATTTGAAATTCATTTTCAGTAAGTATTGCGCTTTTACCTGAGCAACATCATATACAATGTATTCATTGTATAATAAATCGGATTTTTTTGGTAATTTAGCAGATACAGGCACACCATATGGAACTTCAACACCGTCTTTCATTTTGTAAACAGTTTCAGGATCGGGTTGTGTCCGACCACGACCCCATGTTGAATGCTTACCGCTCGGTAACTTTTCAATATAATCTGCACGATATCGTTCATGCATATTACCTAATGCCACTTCACAAAGCAATAACAAACCCGTAGGGCTTCCGCTGTGTGTACAACAATAATTCGCAGATTTGGAAACCATGTCCGCAAAGTATATACCTTTACCAAACATATAACCAGTAACGGGAGCTTCTGGTGGCGCTATTCTTAAACCTTGAGAAAGTATACCAGCAAAGTTAGTCGTTCTAGAACCATGCCACAGTAACTTCCTGTTGTGTAATTTCTTGAATGGCTTATATCTATTGTCTTCCCCTTGTCTCTTAATAACAAATACATCTTGAATTTCAAGTTCGTACAGTGTATGAGTTGCTGCATGAGTATTTTGCACATATTTTTTAATGACTTTATACTCCTCACTTTCCTTATCCAATATTTTAATTTCAGTATTGAGTTGCTTGTAATAGGTATCGAGTGGATTCTTTGTTGCATCCGCCTTAGTATGCAAAAGCGAATACGCAATTTCCATTTCAAGTAATGCGTCTAACATTTCACACTTGGCATGGATTTCTTCCATCGTATTCAAGACTTTAAGCTCGGATACTCCGAAATTATGAGGTATTAGGTTATAAAATCTGTTGGATGCATCAACCAACTGAACCGAATCGACATCTTTCTTCTTTAATACTTCTTGTAAATCAGTTAATACTGAATACGCCTTTTGGATTTGTGTTTTGGACAATTTTCCAAGCGGCATTTTTTCTACATCAATTTCAAATTCAACCATCACCTTTTTCATATTCGCTTCATCGAAAATCAATTTCATTAAATCTTGAATTGGCAGTTCTAACTCACTCTTAATATGAGAGTCTAATTTTGTCGATACATCATCCCCATAATCAATATCCACCGGGTACATTTTGCCAGGTACTTTAACAAAATTATCTCTCTGATTCCAACAGTTTCCACTTTTCTCCGTGTATAGTTCCTCAAACTGAGCTATACATTCCTCTAGAGATAATTTCTGTACTTTTGAACCACCGATAGTAGTTCCTATTCTGCCCCAGCTTCTAAACAACCAGTATTCACCTTTCTTATCGTGCTTTAAAATCTGCAACTTATAATAGCTATTTTTTTTAGTTTGTATGTCTGAAAGTATCAATGTAACATTATACTTATTTTTACCCTCTTGATATACATGTGCACAATCTTGTAAACCACTATCTGGGTCAACAGTTTCACCTTTTTTCAATTGCAATTTCATTTTACCAGATCCTGATTTTTCAAATGTACTTTTCCCTTTACTTTTTGAGACATTCGATTTTTCTGTGAGAACGTTAATTTTATTAGACAAGTCACCTCCCCAACTTGAAATAGTTTTCTTTTCAATGAGCGATATAGCAGGTTTTGTATATTTTTTAGCTTCCTCAATGAAGTCTGCAGTAATAACTTGAATGTTAAAACTTTTGGCTTCTTCCATCTTTTTACTCATTTTATCTACTTCATGTTGTGTTGATATAATAGCAGCTACATTTTCATGAAGTTTTGAAGTTATCTCTCCTCCTAGATGTAAAATTTCCTTTTTTAAGGTATTTCTATCTTTTCCTATGTTCCCTATAATAAAGAATTGCATATGCTTCAATGGCTTGGGTTTTGCTTCAACTTTGGGTCCAGAATCAACTTCATCTTCCTTTTTTACTGCACTGGACGTTGATGGTACAGCTATCTTTATAAGTCGTTTTCTAACTTTGTATTTCAAAGATTTGCTATTAAACATTGAAACAGTGATTAATTTTTTCACATGTCTTTCGCAAATATGCTAATTTATGAAAATAGCTTTTAATTTTAATTCATGAAAATACTTACAGATCTGGATATGCTTCTTTTATATCAGATGGTATTACAAATTTCTTTCTTTTAGGATCTTGCATGATATTTTCACACTTTGTCCATTCTGTCAAATCTCCAGTACATTTGTATCCAGTACCTGAATTATACACAAGCTGTCCATTACATTTTGGACACGGCTTTAAAGCCCCAAAACAAATTGCATCCGATAAACGATCTATTATCTACACAACAAATATGTTAATCATTTAAATATTTTATTTACTTTGAATCAAAAATAAACTTAATTAAAATAAAATACATACAGCTGAAACACCTTCTGGTATTTGTTGTTCATTTTCTTCTAACATAGTAATGAGGTCAGGTTTCTTTATAGAGGATAATTTATCTTTAATTGCAAATAATTCATCATTTTGTTTTTTCATTTCTTTCTCTTCTTCTGCATCTTCTGGTTCATCTTTGATTTTCTTAACAGGTGGGACATCATCTACCTTAATTCTTGGCAAAACACTTTTGAGTTTCTTCTGATCATCTTTGGAAAGTTCATCTTTGCCAGGAAGTGAATCTCCACTCTCATAAAATTGTAAACTTTCCCTTACTTTGGCAAAGCATTCAAGATGATGCCATCTATCTATACCACCGTATCTTCTGCCATGTTCACTTTCAAAATCTTTTTTTGATACTCTGATCTCACCCTGTACTATCTTTTCTTCACAGGCTTTACAAGTTGATTTGTTAGATTTTGCATATTGGACTAAAAAATCATGTAATGGACCTGTAGCAGCAGTACCACCACCACTACGCTTTCTTCCTTTTCTAGATGCAGGCAATGGAAGGGTGCTTGCTTCCTCTATAAAAATGTTCGATTCAAACTATTGCATTATATTATTGTATTATAATATCAAATATGATTTACAGCAATATAATAAACAAACCAATTCTCCTTTGAAGTTCCTTTTGATCTTCCCAGCGAATATTATCAAAATTAGCAATATCTGCAGTAGTTTTTGGCCTTTGTTTCATGAAAAAACAAGGCGGATGATACCACTTTGGTACCTTTCCATCATGAACAGGACTCTAAAATTTAAAAGCTAAAATTTAACAAACATATTTTAAAACATTATAATAGTTTTAAAGGAATATAAAACATATGGATAAACTCAATGACTTTATTAAAAAGTAATTCTAAATAAATTTCCCCAATTTTATTAAAATTAAATGTAGATAAAATAATAATTTATTAATAGAAAAACATTAATCTTCATAAATATATTGCATTTTATATTGTATTGTCGAACACATCATCAATTGCCATTATATTATGTAACCTTGATGAAGCTGAACAATAATTGAATTTAAAACTTATGCTGATTACAGCAATGACATATAAATTCATGCAAAATTAATAATGTTGACATGGTATACCTGAACAATAACGGCGAGTCTTAACGAATCTTTTTCGATATTTTTCTTACAATTTTGGCATGAAGCCCTCGAACTTTTTGCATATTCGACAGAATATGGTAAATCGGGATTCATTGTTTCACTAAAATCCGTTCAATAATTTTAGTCTTGAAGCCAAGCGCCAAAGAGCAGTATTCAATGAGCGAAGACAAAATGCGCGTTGCGCGCCAAATACCAGTATATTCGGAAGTTTATCTTATTTTCTGTTACAATTACAATCTATCTTAAATAAGTGACCAATCATAGAACAAAAAAAATCCTACAATGATTATATGTAATTTCAATTTTATCTACTTCAATTAATTCAATTTAAATTCGAGAAGTATGTGTTAAATACTTCGATAATAAATTGATGACTAATCATGTGATATATACGTATGATATATAAACCGGAAGTGATATCCTATTTTCTACGAATTTTAGAACTTACCTTAATTATCACTTTCGTTCATACATTTATACGTTAGTTTACTCTAAAAAGGTATTCTGACTTGGAAATTATTTTTTCTTTCTAATATAAAATCTTTAATTTAATTTGGGAAATTACTCAATTTTTTAATCTTTTAAATTTATTTTCAAACTAATAATTAAAATATGAAACATTTATTTACTTATAATACAATTATACTTTTATATTTTATATATATATATTAACATTATTTTTTCATACTTAATAATTATTTACTAATTTATATAATGCTTTATATATAATCAATTTATATGATTTGATTTACATTATATTGTTACAGGTATATACTCATTATCAATTATACATGATGCATTAAAATGCATAAAACATTTAAAATAAATGCATACCCGTAAACATAGATCTACATTATTGTATGTAGTCTAAAGGATATTATAAATAAGCTATGAGTTGTAATACAATGTTGGTACACTTTATTTTTATAATCGTATAATATTGTACAAATTATTACAGTAAACTATATATTTCTGTAATTACGTCTATGAATGTTTCTCTGTTTTACCAACATAGTTTGCCATAAAAGTGGCTGACAAGTGGTAGTTCAATTAAATAATATAACCATACAGTGTAAAAATGCACTATGTTATGTCCTTTATCGAATGCAATCCTTTTTTTTCTAAAATTATTTCCTACAATAACGTACAAAACTTATTAAGAAAAGATCAAAATTATTAAATTAATTCTGTTACTTCTTTCGACTATCTACATATTCATATAAGCCTATTATATAAATCCATAGTGCTTACAAGAAGATAATTAACTGTCCCTTCTTATACCACGCTATCACTATGCTATAATAATTATATATATATATATGTAATATATATATATATATATGATTTTACATATTTATATATATAATACTTTTCTTGATATTATATATATACATATATAAATATATATGTGTAGATGTCACATTGTTCATACTAACAAATTCGGTATTTCATAATAAATTTATCGTTCCAACAGAAAAAATGTATACACATATGTGTGCCATCCTATTTTATTGATATAGTCGTTTATATTATATTCTATATTAATGTACATTTTTGTTTATATACGAGCGCAAAAATAAAACTTAATATTTTATTATAACGTCTGCCACGAAAAATTTAAACTTATAGCAATAGATACAATTTACAACTTCAAAAGATGTTTTGATTTTATAACTTACTTCATACACACAACTTTATCAAACGTTACAAATTAAACAGAGAATTATATATTCCACATTCATCGCTTAAAAGTATGATTCCAAATTTGAAAAGAAGACAAAAATATGTATGTGTTGGAAAAAAATGGAGAAATTTTATTCCCATTTATTTACCCATTTTTTTGGTAAATAATACTTATTATTTACCAAAAGACATTGCGAAAGTTTTAGGTCACTCCCATTAATTAGTACAATTTTTTATTTGGTATATCGTTCAGAAATTTCTTCGCAACATGACGTGTAGACACATCGAATATATGGAGTAAGGACAGTTTATCGTTCATTGTCTTACGTAATCGTATTAGGATTAATAACAAAATAGAATTAATTCAAATATATTTGTCCTTAGAAAAAGAATTTATATTATTAGTGAATTTACTATCCAAGATTCGCAATATGACATGTGAGTGTCGCATAAAATGTAAATATACTTCGTATTTATAGGTTTTTATAGGCGTGTAGGTCAGGAATATGCAGCTCTAGGATTAACCAAGGAATTAGACTGAAGGCCACCCTTTAATATTTTTACAGTCTATTTTATCTATGTCTGATAACAACAATAAAAATTCTTAAATAAATATATCGGTATAATCATTGATGGAATATTATTACGCAATCAACTATTTTTTTGCTCAGAGTTGTATGTTTATGTGTTGTAATTGCGTCTTAAGCATAATATGCATACACATGTACACGGTACGTCAATCATTGTATACTACAATGACTGGTATGGAGTACCACAAAATTAGGTGAAATTCATTAAGACAAGACACATGTATCACTCTGCTGATCATTGCTATTTTCCTCTGCCTTGAGATGTACCCGACCTGGTTGTAGGTTTTGCTGGTTGTGGAATAATCGTAATTTCATCATTAATCTTCAATGGTTTCAGAAGGGAGTCATTGGATCTGGACGATGGAGATGAAGGTGTATTCTTCTTATCCATTACTCTTTTAGCTACGCCACTATGTGCCGAATATACGTGATTTTCAAACTGCTTATACATTCCAAACGTGGAAGTGCAAACTGTACATTTATAAGATAGATGCGCTGGTTTTAATGTCATTCCATGATCTCGCGCGACATGATTTAGTAATTTCCATTGATATACCTAAAAATTAAGATCCACAACCCTCAAGTAATATGCTGCTTAAATTTATATCTCCCAATCTCACATGTACATAATTTCGAATGTTGAGCAACATAAAATGTATAACTCACCCTGCCGCAAGCGGGACAGCGACCTGCATCTTTTCCTCTATTTGCAGCTTCTTGCATACTAGATGTAACCAAACCATGAGACCCAAGTAAATGTCTTTCCAGACCCTGTAATAATATTTACACAATACTATTATAATTTTATTTTTACATATAAAAGATTGAACAAGGCACAGTCAATAATTAAATAAAAAAAAATAAAAAAAATTGGAAAATATTAATTTTTAATTCATAAAATGTGCTCTATATACATCACATGTTGTTTGTTGTATTATTTTATATTTAAATACAGTAATGAAATTTATAAAAGAGGAAAAGTATGTATTTAAGTACCTGGTCTGTGAAAAACCGAAATTGACATTTTTGGCAATTCAATGGAGGTCTACTATAAATCATCTTTGGATGTATTTTTACTTTGTGAATCCATTGCATATGGTTACGTAGTTGTTCTAAATCCTGAAAGATAAAATAGAGACAAGGCACATGTACAAAATATAATACTTATAATATATAATGCATAATACTTATAGTATTATTTAATTTTACAACATTTTATATCGTTAAAACCATTTGAATATAATATATTAAGTTGAGCGGGAAGTAATGTCGAATTTTCTGATAAGGCACTTCCATGATTTCCTATGGGTATCTTCCATCTTTTTTTACACCTTCTCAAAAAAATTATTGAATTTTCAAAGAAAAATATTCCACTTGATTCTTTCTCAAAGTTGAAATCACTAGTTTGAAGCTTTTTATATCATCTTTATCCTATATGTTCCTCATATTTGAAAGCTTTGCACAAATTTTCAATCACAACAGTCGCATTGTTAACTTTTTAAAACCCATGAAAGATACAATGAGATGATAAGTGCATTTTGTCTCAATCCTTGCTTGCGAATTTCTCTATTGCAACTGATGGTAAAGACAGAAGTGCATCTTTATTTGCAAATAGGTAATTAAAAATTAATGAAACATTTTATAATAGAAAATCCGACAGTATTTTTCCCATCATCTTAATACATAACTCACCTTAATATAACCATCGCAGATTTCACATATGACAAATGTAGTTTTTTCTCCAGACTTTGATGAAGTTCCAGAACCAGGGATGGAGGTTTGAGATGTTGTACGTGGTAATGGAGTTATAGATATACTTGGTTGACTTAACAATTTTGCAGTAGGATTTTTGGGACTTGCTGTTGTATTCTGAAAAATATAAAATACACTAATTATTTTAAACATTAAAAATGTGTACCTTCAGAATTGGTAAATTTTTAATCCAATTATGTTACAGTATCAAATTGTATCTTATTTAAAAAAATCTTTATATCTTAAATATAACTTAAATATATACTAGTTATTATCGACTGATTTTTACAAAGGTAATAGTAAAGGTAATAAAAATTGTCAATGAATTCCTTCAAAATTTATAAACAATGTAAGATTATATCAATACAAAATTAAACATTTTCATAATGCAAGATATTACAAGGGTAAAAATACATTGATGAGATCAATAATTACGAAACTAGTTGCACTGCACACTAATGATATGTTTAGCCATAACTTTACACATATTGTTAACTCTTATAAGCAATTGTGTACAGCTTCGATTAAGTAAATCTCAAGAAATCGGTTATAAAAGCCGTTTTGCACCTGCAGAACACATTATCCATGCGACCACAAATTTTACAAAATCAATATAACCTTCCTGATAGGTTCCAACAATTATTTACCTGTGATGAGGACAATCTAGAGAGAGAGTCGATTACGTTGGGTACAAGTGCAATGGGTGTGGGTTGACCGGAACTGCCGCCGCTACTGCTACTCACTCCCGAGACAGCCGACATGACAGTCCCAGAGCCACCCACCACCTGTGTCACCACCCATATATTTTTTTACTAATTCTTAAACTCTTATATACTTGAATTTGTGAACCTGTAGTTTTTTTTATAGATATTAGTAAAACAAAATTAGCCGAGGAAAATTCACAGAAGGAAATCAACATACTCCACTACCAATAGATAAATAGAAAATAAAATACTTAAATGTAAATAAATAAAACAAATATAATTTTTTCTTTTCTTCCCATTATGATAATTTACTATATTAATCATTCTTTAAATTTGATACATAAAATATAGTAAGACAGCTTTCCCAAATTTTATTAGATACTGTGTGTATTAATAGTGGTGACAATTATTACAAAAAGATTCAAAGAAATATAAAGGCATAAATATACTGTGCATATCATACGTGTGCTTATACATTGTAACTGAAATTACATTACTTCAAGGACATTACCTTCAGGGACATGACTTTAAATGATTATCATTCCCCTTATTACTATCAAATCTTATAAAAGTTACGACATTAGAATACGTTTAATATGCAACATAATCCTTCAATATTTACAAAATACTGTGCGTCCTTTTTCTACCAAAAAAATACTGAAATATGTTCTATTATTAATAAAAAAGAATTAGAAAAAATGAAAACATTTTTACCTGAAATATTTGATTACTACCAAATCGGTATGAAGTAGGGACCAATAAGCCAGACGATGTTGGACGATACATCATTCCTGCAACATTATCTAAAACATTAGCAATATATTACACATAATCGAATTTGCACAGGTCGAGTATAATTCAATGTAATATGTTAATATTAATGTAAAATGATAAAAAGTTACCCTGACGCATTGTCGTACCACCCGGTCGTAATGTTTTCAAATCTGAATATCTTGGTTGCATAGGCGGCCGTCCTCTTCCACGACCAGTGATTGGAGCAGGAAGTAATTTTGGTAAAAGTGGTTGAGGTCCTTTACCACTCATTGCCATCGCAAGTGCACTGGGGTTAGTTGGCCCAACAGGCCTTGTTCGATTGAATCGTGGAATTTTTGCTGGAGGTTCCCAATCAGCACCTGGTTCTAGATTCTTTTCCGATCTGAATTTCTTAGTACAAGCAAGTATATGTCGATTTAGTTTGCCTTTCTGGTTGTCTTCAAACGGACAATTAGGACATTGATGAAAAGCTGGACCCCGCTCCAACCTCCCGCGAGTATTATGTTCTGCTTCCATATGGTATAATATGTCGTGGGGACTACGCATTTCAGTCGGACAAAAATTACA